TCGGTTTTTTCAAGAGTTTTCTAGGTTTTTGTCAATTTTTCTTCCAGATACATCGGAAAATTTGAAAAAACAGTGAAAACAAGCGAAAAAATTTTAAAAGTTTGATTTCGCGCGCTTTTACTCACTGGGTGCCCTAGAAAAAACCTCGTCCCTAAGGGCTTTCAGCGTATTTTTCGATGCGTTTTTCTCGATGAAGGAATTTTTTTTGAATTTTCACGGCATCGCGGTTGGGAACCTGAAAAACGCGCACTTCGTCGCACACAAAAGTTGGACGCGTGCCAGATTCGAAAATTTCAAAACATGTTTTGAAAAAAACGTAAATGTTAAGCGTTGCTGAGTCGCTACTCACCGAAAAGCCGCGACGCGACCGCGCAACGCGTCCAAAATTGGCGCGCTATCCAGTTTTTAAATCTAGGTTCCCTTCCGCGAGGCCGTGAATTTTTTTTTCTTTTTAAGCCAATCTACATGCATTTCTGCACATTTTGATGCAATAAAAAATTTCACCGTACACCACCTTTAATAGTTAAAACCACCAAGTAGCAAAATTTCTAAAATTACTGTTTCAAAATAATAGTTTTAGAATTTCAGTGGTTAGGAAAGATTAATCCGAAATGACCATTCAGAGATTCAAATATTTTATTGAAAGTTGAACTTGGCAGTCGGAGAATAGAGAAGGTAAAAATATTTGAATCTGTACCCTTGGATTAATTTTCCAGAAAACCACTGAAATCTTTCAACATTTTTTTGAAGCAGTAATTCTATTTTTTAAGAAATTTTCAATTTTGAAGAACAGATAATTTTAAAATGTTTTCATCCAGATTGGTCTTCCTTCTCAGCAAGTTTTGAAACAGAACTTTTTAAATGAAAAATCTGTACAAAATGTAGGGTTTTGATGATAACTGAATATATGGGCAAGAAATACAGTTAAAATAGGGAACATGAAATCCGTTCACCGTAATACCTGAATTAGAATCGCCTGTAAGGAACCAATAACTAATTTCCCACATTTTCCAGACAAATTCTTCGCAAAACCAGTGCCACAGTCCGTGATTTGATCGATCGCCGCCTTCCGAACGGTTCCGTCTACGCAGTTTCCATTAAAAGTTGTACGAATTCTATTTTCATTGAAATCAAGTCTGGAAATCCAAGTTCCCCATCTTCTGGTCAACTTTATCCGCGAGGAAATCGAATTAAAATAGAATATCAGTTTCATAAAAAAGGATGTATGGTAATTTTGGAAAGAAGAGGAGGACGAAAATCACAACGATTTGTGAAGGATGAATCGTTTGTGACCGTATTCTGGAAGGATTTCGAGTCTTTGTTGGATATAAACAATGGGAAAGTTCTGGAAGATTTCAAGGTCAATTTTGAAATGATCGAATGGGGAAAGACGCCAAAAAAGAATTACTTCAAATTCATTGCTCAGCTTGAAGAAGTCATCAAGAAACGTGGTTATTTAAGGACCAGGAATATATCAATGAGGATCTTCATGGTGCATGAATGCCGTTCAATTCTCGCTCTAATGGATCCAAGTTATTTGAGGGAATTCATTTCTGCTCTATTGAGGTTCCAGGGACATCCAAGTTGATTGAATACTCAAGAATGTTCGATTCGTTCGTTGTGGAGGAGCTGGAGCAGTGGAAAAACGCAAGAATGATTCAATCTGAGAATTTTGAATTTTTTTGGGAAAGAGGTCTTTTTCATTTCGAAAAGGTCAAAGTACGTATGGATTACGTTTCTGGTCATAATGTTGATGGAATTGTTCAGGTTAGTTTTTTTTTGGTTTTTTTGAAAATGTTTTCCGGTTAACCATTTGCTTGTTCCATCAATGATTATTTCAAGTTAATTGTTTCAAGGAAATTCAGAAACATTATAGATTCTTAGAAAAAAAACATGAAAACTTTACCAGCCTGTTTGCTGCGCCCCCGGCGCTTCCCACAACTGACTGGTGCGCGCTCGGCGCGATTCAACTTATTTATTTTACTGTTCGCCTCTCCGCTCCTCACTTTTTTATTTCTCTTTTTCAAAAGGTCACATCACATAAAGCAATTATTTGGCAAACTTTTTGAGATAGAAACATTTGAAAATTACTGTTTTATTGAAATTTGAAAAATTTCTGTTTACTGAAAACTCAAAGTAAATCCTGAGTTTGATTTTTTTTTCTGATCCTTTAGGAGATTTAGTAGAAATCATATATGTAGTAATACTGTGATTCTAAATTGAATAAATTTGTCATATCTAGATGTGAAATGTCTCGGGTGCTATTTTGTATTACCTAAAATTCCATTTCTCTGATTTCCAGGAGTTCTTCACATCGACAATTCCAACCAAACACTTTACAATTGTCGGATATGGATTTGAAAGTTTTACGTGAGAACGCTACTTAGAAATGTATGAATCTTCCAATGAGAGAAAAATTTTTCTTCAGTCAAATCTCTCTGAAAATATAGTTGAAGTGTTTTTCTCGCCAAATTCATTCCAAGTTAAGCTAGTAAAGAACTCGGATGTACCACCAGGATTAATTAAAGATTGGATTCCACGGGACCAACGAGAAGAGATTATTGATGATTTCGATGACAGTGATACCGAATCGGATGATGATTCTGATTCCGATGATGATGACGATGATGAGCATTTGTAACTTTTTTCAGTTTTTTTCTCGATCAATCTTCCCTCTCACCCGCAAACTTCTTATATTCTTTTTTTTTAACTTGCATGACTTTAATAAAGCATAAGAATATAAAAAAGAATTAATCTACAGTACCACTCTTCCGGGTGGTACTGTATTTGTTTAATTTTGATTTACTAGTTTAAAATAGACAACTTTGACGTCCTAAAAAACCTTCCAGATTGTTTCCATTTGTCTGAAAACTTCAGCAAATTCAGCACAAAACTTTCAGCACAAAAATAGAGCTTTAATTTCTTAGTTGACATCTTTTTTGAAAAAAAATTCATCTGACTGAGATATACGGTTTGAAAACCAACCAAGTCCACAAGCAGTGCTCACTATCAGTTCAGAGCTGTAAAGTAGCAAAAATTACTGTTACAAAAAATGGTTTATAATTTTAGTGGTTATGAAAAGTTAATCCATATAGGAAATTTGGACAATTTTAGCCGGTTATCTCCTTTGGATGAGTTTGTACAAAAAAGTTGTCTATAACAAGGAGCTTTTTTGTTGAGTATACATACTCTGAAGTTCTCAGACACATCGCATAGTTCCTTTTTTGTGGCAAGATTTAAATCTTATCCAATGAAAAAGACAACATATTGAAACTTGCCGACAACTTTTGAAACAGTAATTTTTGAAACATATCACTGAACATGCTATCCATCTCCTATCTTTTTCACAATACAGAAAAAAAATTTGAGCATAACAACAATCAAAAAAGTTAATTACTCTTAAAAAAGTAAAATTCCTGTTTATCAACTTTTACATTACAGTATCACGAAACTGCAAAATCTTCTAGAAAAATTTGAAAATGTTTATTGATTCTTAGCTTACAATTAGCGTTTTTGAAAAGCACTGGAAACATATGGAATTCCAATGAAACAGTGAAAATTTTCTAATTTTTCCTGTTTCAAAAAGACTTTTCAAAAATACATTTTTTAATGTGATTGGTTGCTATTCATCACTATAAACCATAAAACAAAACAATACAGTAATCCGGAAGATATACAGTACAATTATTATACAATTATTGCATAGTTTTCACATACATCCCCAAGCCATACGTCGAAAATTACAACCATTATACCGTAAACACTCTAATAGAACGTCACCCGAATCGTCAAATTTGAGCCTATATAACTCACTTTTTTTGAGAGATATCAAAAGTTGTCAACTAATAAAATGTTTATCATGATATCAGCAACATTTCATTAGTTCACCACTTTTTGATATCTCTCACAGAAAATTAGATACATGGGCTCAAATTTGATGAATTGTGTGGCGTGTGTGGCAAATTGTGTCTGCAATTGTTTAGAAACCAGTCGGTTTACGCCCCTTCGGGGCTAAACCTTCTGGCCTCCTGTTACAGTACCCGTAATCTTATAAAAATATTTCGTTACTTTTGTTCAGGGTCTATGGAAATTCAGAAATTCAGAGCTTCAGAAATTCCTAACTCTGTAACTCAGAATTGAAATATTTTAGGATTCCGCAAATTAAAATACTCAGAATTTTTTTTAGAGATGAGTGAATACGAATGTTCAAAAGTTCAGAAACTTTGATCCAGAAAAGTGTTTAAAATTTTATGGGAACTTCTGCAATTTAGACTTTGAATAGAGAAATAGGAGTACGCCCCTCCGAAGCTACATCCCCATTGTCGAAAATTCCCGTATGATCTACTTCAGTGAACTTTGATAAGAAATATTACGAAAAAAATCGAAATGGGCCGAAGGGCTTTGAACAGTGCTTCAGAGTCAAATAGCTAAAAACGCTAAAGAAGAGAGCCTACATAAATCTGTAAAAATTGAGAAACTCTGAAAGTTGGAAATTGGAAAAATAAGAAATTCTCGATTTTTTCATAATACTCGTGAGTCTTAAATTAGTCTCAGAGTCTTAAATTTTTAAGCTTCCGTGTCTTCGAATTCCCTCGCATTCGAAAATTAGTGTGTTTTTTTAAAATTTTCTGCATATCTAGAATTCTAAAATTTGAGCACTTGAAAAAGTTGCAGTTCCGATATTTGGATTCAAAACTTCAGCTGTTCAAAAGCTTGAAATTCTTAAACTGTAGTTCTCTGATTTTAAGAGTTCTTTAACTCCCAATTTGAGTTTCTGAATCTTCGAAGATCGATTTACTGAACTTCGGATATTTCGAATTTTGAAAATTCTGGATTAGAGAAAAAATTTTACAAATTGATATTCACTAATTCTTTAGTAGTTCAGATATTGAAAATTTCGTAGTTTATCGAATTTTAACATTTGGAATGAAGACTACAAATGTGGAAATTCGGGGATTCGAAAGTAGATATAACTTTTTCATATTTTCGCGGCCTAAGGCTTTGTGTCAAGTTATATGTATGATCTTCTGCTCAAGGAGTTCCTGGCATTTGGAAATGCCATTGAAGAAGCATGAAATACACTAATTTAGCTACCATATTGTAACCTGAAATTTGTTGGTGACACAAAAAAAACACTGAAAAATCCGACTAAATCCTCATTCGACTTGGAAAAAATTAAACTGGGAAACTAAAATTGCATTGCTAAAATTTCATCCAAAACGATTAAAACATAATCAGACATTTTCATATTCCTTTCCGAACTCTCTACAAAAAACCAAAAAAAGTTACCGCCTGTCGGACTCGAGCCCGCATAGCGCGGGCAAAAGCATAGTGCATTAACCGCTACACCACTGCCGACCACAGCAAATGGTGGTAGAAATGGCGTAAACGTGTGTGTTGAATTTCCTCCCTATTTCTCTCGCACCCTCTTCTCTCGCCCTCCCTGCCCTCCACCCTTTACTGTGGTGAAACCAAGGAACGTCTTCAGAAGACTTCAAAATCAAATTTTCGAAAAATGAAAAGATCGGGCCTGCAATTAGACACACTTCTGATCTATCTGTTGAGGTTTCAGCTCAATCGGTTAACTTTGAGTGGGTAAAACGGAACGCGACATACATACGCACATACGGAATCTGGTGAATGTTATTAGTAATGATGCTTCAAGCAAGTCTACAGTGCGCGTCATAAGTATATGCCCACCCCCTAATATGGCGGTTCCGGGCTAACCGAGAATTTTTTTAGAAAACGACTAATGCCATTCGATTCAACATAGCTGAAAACCTATAAAGTCAAAAGTATTTGCCCACCCCGACAAAAGGGGTGATTGCTGACAATGGTGGGGTCATTTGATGTTTTTCGATTCGGAATGTTTTTGGAAAGCAGATTTTTGCGGAAATGTCATTGAAGAAGATTACACAGGGTAACGGCTGCTCATGGTATATGTCTAGGATGTGCACTCATAATAATTCCGCGGGTAGCGCGTGCGCGCTATATGCGTCGTCGCTGGGCACGACTGGTCGCCGGTGGGCGCACCCATATAGCATCCATATAGCATGCACGCTTTTCCCGTGAAAACAGCAGCCCACCAACGACACTCCGCAAAAATTTTCACCGCCGATCTAGATCAATTTTTCGATCATATTGATCCTATTTCCTGCTTTCAAAGAACTTCTCACTGTTTTCACTTGTAAAAATTATGGCTAACGAAAATAAAACTTATTTTTAGTAAAGAAATAGGTAACATTTTTTACAAAATCCGGTTTTTCTTGAAATGAGGACTTTTCTGTTTTACTTCGGAATAAGCGGAATAATATATTTTTCAGGTGAAATACAGGTTGGTTGGTAAGTTTTCCGATTATTACGAAGTAAAAGTAGAAAAACAATCCGAGAAACACAAAATTATTTCGAAAACAAAATTATGCGAATTAATGCCAATTTCAAGACTTTGTTGAATTTTTTTCAAGTTTTCTATATTGCAATTTTGAAGGAAAAATTTATTATGTTATATCATCCAGATATTTTTAACTTCCTGCCATAATTTTTCTTGCTGTGAGAAAATTCTGTGAAAACTGGAAAAATGGTCACTCTGTGAAATCTGAAAGGGAAAATGAACGATATTGGAAGATCTGAACAAAATCACATCTTATTACAACTATAGTTAGATGAACTAATCCATATATGAGATATCCGTCGCCAATACGACCTGAAATTGTAGATGAAATATGGACGCGTCATGCCCGATCTCGATGGCGTGTGCGCGCATATAGCGTACTATATGCGCGCAAACGGTGTACCTATGTCGTCCATATGAGGCACCGCGCCAACGCATATATTAGGTTGGCGGGAAAGTCTTTGTCACTCTGTTTGTTTAATCACTGTTCTCGTATATGGAGGCTGTGTATGATATCGACTTTAGTGAATAACAAGGTGATAAGAACCTTCCATATAAACAAGTCCCCATCTCCTTCCNTGCTCCTCATCTGTAATTGAAACGATATGTTTGTTCCCACTGCTATTCACATCAGACATGTTTTGATTTACCTCTTCCTATCTCACACCACGATGAAGGATTCGGAAACTTTCTTGAAGAATGTGTACAACACACATGCCCCTCACTACAATACTATTCGCAATTGGTTCCATCGTTTCGAAAAAGATGACTTCTCGCTCGATGAAAAGGATCGCTCTGGGAGACCCCGTGAGTTGGATTTGGACAAGCTGAAGCACGCATTGCAATCGGATCCATTTCAATCTAGCCGTGAACTAGCTGTCACATTCGGAGTTCACCATAGCACAGTCCTTGAAGGTTTGAAGTCTCTTGGAATGAGAAAACTTTTTGGTCGATTCATACCTCATCACCTGACTCAAGCCAACCTTGACCGCCGAGTCGACGATTCGATTACTCTTCTCACTCTCCACGCGGGCGATCGATGGCTGGACCGGCTAATAACCGGAGATGAGAAGTGGGTCTTCTACGATAATCACCACAGGAAATCCCAGTGGGTTGGAGAAGGAGAGAGCCCACAGGATGTCCCCAAACCCGACCTTCATCCGAAAAAGTTATGCTCTCTGTGTGGTGGGGAGTGGACGGCCCCATCTACTGGGAACTTCTGCCCGAGGGCAAAACAATAACTGGAGACCTCTACACTACTCAACTACGAAACCTCAAGAAAGCAGTCGACCGTTCGGCCCTGAAAGACAAGAAAGTGTACTATCAACATGATAACGCTCGCCCACATGTTTCGAAACAAGTGAAGCAGGAGCTGATGGGATATGGATGGAATGTTCTCCCTCACCCCCCGTATTCTCCTGATCTTGCTCCTTCCGACTATTGGTTATTTGGCGATATGACACGTGCCTTCGAAGGAAGAAGCTTCAATTCCCGTGGAGCGGTCGAAGCGGCACTCAAACAATACTTTGCCTCACGCCCGGCTGAATTCTACCGCAATGGAATCCATAAATTGAGGGAACGTTGGAGACATGTTGTTGATAATGATGGACAATATAATTAATTATTCGGTTATTTTTTCTTTGAGAAATAAACTATTGAAAAAGTGACAAAGACTTTCCCGCCAACCTAATACCATGAGCAGCCGTTACCCTGTGTATATACTGGAAGAGTAGAACTGGATTTTCCAGAATATTCAGACAATTTCCAAAAACCACCTTGTTCCATTCCAGCGCAGTTTTCCATGTTTTAAAGTTTCAAAACACTATCAATCTTATTTGAAATGCCAAATAGAGCTCATTTAACATATCTAGAGCAAGGAAAACTCAACATCCTGCCACCACTAGAATCGTCTCAACGCATAAAGGCCTGCAGAATCAGACGCTCCCCTGGTTGCGTTGGGAATAACCTGAAAAACTCGGTAGCATGCGAAAACAGGGGCAGATAGCGATTTTCTAGGAAAGTTTGAGAGTTTATGAAGTTTACTATTTACTTATACCAATCATTCCGGGCCTCCCCATCGGTTCTCAAAAACGCTAATTGTAAGCTAAGAACCAATAAACATTTTCAAAATTTTCTAGAAGACTTTGCAGTTTCGTGATACTGTAATGTAAAAGTGAATAAATAGGAATTTTACTATTTTAAGAGTAATGAACTTTTTTGATCGCAGTTATGCTCTAATTTATTTTCCAGATCACTAATTATTTTCGAAGAATTCGGCTGAAAAAAAAATCAAATTTCAGCTGAAAAAATAGCAAACAAGTATTCAATCAATTGAAAAATGCTAAATCTTCATTGTTATTCAGAATTTCTTTTTAAAATATAAGATTTTAGAAAGTTGGAATTCTAGAAGAAAAAAAAGAAATTCTAAAAAATATCATAACAGTGAAGCATTTGCAGTTTCCCATTGATTGAATACTTGCTTGCTATTTTTCAGCTGAAATTTGATTTTTTCAGCCGAATTCTTCGAAAATTCAATTTCTGACATTAAAATATACTTGTTTCAAAACCGAAGAATTTGGAATTCTGATTTTCTGACGTTATCAGAGGCTGCGAAATGTCTGGCTGCGAAATGTCTGGCTGCGAAATGTCCGGCTGCGAAATGTCCGGCTGCGAAATGTCCGGCTGCGAAATGTCTGCGGCTGCGAAATGTCCGACTGCGAAATGTCGGCTGCGAAATGTCCGACTGCGAAATGTCCGGCTGCGAAATGTCCGCTGCGAAATGTCTGCGGCTGCGAAATGTCCGGTTGCGAAATGTCCGGGAGCCAAATCTACAAATTAAATTGTTTTATTGTATTTTTAAATTTCATGCTTTTAATAAGAATTCAAAGTGATTCATAGAATAATTTTTGGTGACAGTATCTTTTTTCAAATTTTCATGAAACAGAACAATTTTTGATCTCAAAACACACCTTTTGAACCAGACAATTAATCTCAATCAATCATCGAAAATCTAATTTTTCAGATAATTTTTCAGACAATTATAAAAAATCTAAAGAACATATTATTATGATAAAGACAAGGAAGTTTTTTTCTTATTAAAAATACACCTGTTTTTCCGTTAACGATAGTTTTTTTGTCTTTTTTGATGTAAAACGTTTGTGTTTTGTGGTTTTAGAACATTTGAATTTCTGTTTCAAAATAATTCAAATTTTTGAAAAAATGTGTGACTCACTGTTTTTCTGTTTCTCAAAAATTTTGAATGGTCTTGCAATATCCGTTTGTACTGTACCTCTGTGTTGAAATTCACATAAAACAACTTTTTGGGACTACAGTAATCTGGAATACTGTGGAAAACCGTCATTTTCATGAATCGACTGCGACCGCGTAGCTCAACTGGTAGTGACGCGGCATCTCTAATATTCTGCCCACAAGTTCAATTCCTCGAGATACGCCTTCCAGCTATACACTATAGTAAACAAATTTTTTTTCTCTCAAACCTAATTATCTTACCTTTAACCTGAACCTTGGACTCACCCGAAAGATCAACTTCCAATACTTCAATCTTTCTTCTGACGCAAAATCCAATAAAACCTTTCTACCCTTGACTAACTCCTTCTTCCTTCTCTTATCCAGGAAATAATTAAATCGACCTATTCAATTCCAGGAAAATATACTGGAATCAGGAGGTGTAAGTATTTTGTCATTCTTTTTTCCTGGAGCCTTGTTTTGCCTATAACAAGGTTTCTAGATTTTTCTCTTGTAAATGTTTTGGACATTTATTTTTAGACATTGGTATTTGGTGCTGAATCAAGAGCTAGAATGTTTGACTTTCCCTTTTTCAGCTACAGCTCATTGGAGTTTTTGAGCTTTTGAGCTCAACAAAAGTTCCGAAGTGAAAACCATCCAGAATCAGAGGGTTTTCATATGGAAATTATAATAATTGTTTAAAGGAGGCCAGACACGAAAGTCTACGGAGTTTTCTTGGAGCGAGATCATGTATTCTGACGGAAAATCGCGCGATTGCGACCCAATGCGCGCTACTTGACGATCATTTATTTTTTTTAGAATACACTAGATTTCTTCACTGTTTGGCAATTATTCCCTACTTTTTCTTTTTATTCGGTTATTCTTTGATGTCGCCGCATGAAAACAGAAAGAAAAACGAAAACTAACTGATGGGAATCGAACCCGCGATGCGCGACTGATAGCCAAGCGCGCCCCCCACTACACCACAAGACGCTTGTCGTCTGCTGCCGCAAAAACGATTACGAAACGAGGAGTTGGCTCCGCTTCGAAGAACGACCGCGTTCTTGCTTGTACAGTAACAAGGAGTTATGGTTTGGTGTCCATTGTTATTTTCTGACTGTACTATGTCATATATCAAAAAACTATAATTTTGAAAATTTTCATGTCTGGCCTCCTTTAAAAACCTAGAAACAGCAAAACATTTTGAATTAACAAACTGGCTCTAATACTTTGTTCCAAAATATTACTGAAATAATTCCAGTTTATTGGTGACCATGTACTTCTTGTCAAATTTGATATTCCAGTGAAACATAAATTTCTGGCATGGAATGACTCCCAAGTGTTACCCTCGAAAAAAATCGAGGCCTATATGGTTGGATAGAGCGTTTTTCTATGTTATTGAATATGTTTAAAAAATAGTTTGGTCGTTTCTATCAAGTTTAACTATAGATGTGCCCTGTCACATGTCAAAATTTTGCTTTTTTCAAGGTGATGATTTTAAGAAATGGTACGGCATTTGAAAAATTGACTTTGTATGTCGCAGGATTCTATTTCAAACACTCTAGGCTAACGATACGCAAGTAAAAATCACAAAAACAAGTATGCCCCTCATCATACAGGCCGCCGAGGACAACGAATTCAAAGAAGCCAAGTACCAAAAATCGATATTTTTCGGCATAACTTGTGTGAGCATGATTTCCCCCGGGGTATTGATATGTTTCTATAGTAAATCAAATGTGCTGAATTTGATGGTCATAATGAAAAAAAAAGTTAACCTAGGATTTTTGAGATATTGAAAAATTTTTTGATTTTTTCAAAAAATCAATAATCCAATCAACAGGAAAACAAATTTAAATTTTAGTTCTTAAATGTTCAATTAATTGTCTATCTACTGTTTTTTAAATTTCAACAAACGGACATAAACTGACAAAGTTATGATTTTTTGAAAATTTAGGCATTTTTTGGTACTTTTTGGACCATAACTCCCAAAAAAAAATTTTTTCCCAACTATTCCGTTTGGAATCTAAAATAACTTTTTATGCTCTATCCAACCATATAGGTCTCGATTTTTTTCGAGGGTAACACTTGGGAGTCATTCCATGTGGGACTTTTTTCTGCTATTTCTTATGGTTTGGCTTAGAAAACCCTGCAAGGAGTCCAATTTGCGGGCAAATTGTTTGGGACACCGGGCCGCTACCAGCTGAGCTACGTGGTCGCAAACGCTGACTAATCACTTTAAGCTCAATTATCTCGGTTACTGTAAGAGATATCAAAAATTTGTCAACTGACAAAATGTTTATCATATTATCGCAAGTATTTTATCAGTTGAAAAATTTTTGACAACTCTTATAGGAACCGAGATAATTGAGCTCAAAGTAACAACTACCGTATAACCTATAACCCTTCCTTTAAAAGGTATCAATAATCTATAAACTGATAAAATATTGGTGATATTATGATAAACATTTTATCAATTGACAGATTTTCATTTCTTTTACAGAAACCGAGAAAATCTTGAAATTGGATTTTGTCTTTGTTTCAGTTTTCTTCTTTATTCCCTCTAAAATCCTGATTTTCAGCTCTCCAAAAATGTCCAAAAAGTCAATATTTGGAAACCAAACATATATGGACTTGGAATTCAAATTCAACACATTTCCTGTCTATTTTGCACTGCTTCCACTTTCATATGTGCTTCCGACGGTTTTCATTGTGAATTACACAATTTTTGTATATTTGAAACATTGGTGGAGGAAGAAAGTAGCAATCGTGAATTCGCAGATTTTTCTTGTGGTATCCATGGCGCATACTGTGGTGAGTAAGGGGGAGAATTGAAGTGGAGTTTTTGAAAAAAAAAGGTGAAATAAGAAATTTTAGTTAAGAAAAACATACTAGAAATTTTGCCTTTTTGTATTAGAGTTCGGCAATCAATCGCATTTCATGTACAATCTTTTGAAATAAAGTCATGCCCTTTCGGCCTGTTTTAGTACTGAAAATGTAAAAAACAGGTGTCGTTCAGGAATCGACGAATAGCTGAAAAACTAGGAATATTCGAAAATTCTGTGAATGGGAAGTTTCCAATCAAGTTTGTTTAACACCCTCCAAAATTTTGAAAATGATCGAAAACCTGACAGCCGAGCTTCAGACTCTTGAAAATGGTCAAAAGTCAACTGAAAAATACGTTTTTGTATCTCTTATTGACCGGTACTTCACATGCTACTGTTTCTTTTTTCATGTCTTACAATCTATCTCCAAAATCGATACTATTGACTCAAATGATGGATTTTGATATTTTTTGAAACAGCAATTTTCAGGAGAAAAACCCCCATGAAAACTTAGTTTTTCCAAATGAATAATGTAGCTTTTTATTTTAGCTAATTTTGAAACTGGTAAAATGTATTAGGCCCGTTCTATACCTAGTTAAAATACGTTTAGTAGAGAAAACAATTGTCATTCCGAAATTGGCACATACCTGAAAACTAGCACATTTCAAAAAATACTGAAAACGCAAAGTTTTCAATCTAGGTCTGTTTTACACCCTCCAAAATTTTGAACGTGATCGGAAGCCTGATAGCCGAGCTTCAGATAGCCGAGCCCTGTCATAGTTTCTTTCATGATTAATTTTTTTTTATCAATTGAGTTCTAAAAGAAACTATGGCAGTGTCCGCAGTGTCTAATATCCTTCAGAATGAACAGAAAATTGGCAATATTTATTGTAGAGAAATAAGAAACAGAATGCCCTCGGTGACATCTACCGGGTTTATATACAACGGATTATTACCATATCAAAGGATAAAAACCACAAAATATAAAAGAAAATAGGCAAGTAATTCGGAGGGTACAAAAATTTTGGGGTCATTGGAGTACAAAGCAATTCAGGGGTACAAAATCCTCAATTCGGGGGTACAAGAAACAAGAAAAAGGCTTAGTTTGTACCCCCCCCCCCCCCGATTTGTCGATTTTGCACCCCTAAATCACTTTGTACCCCCTTGTACCCCCCCCCCCCCCCCCGAATTATTTGCCAAGAAAATACATAAAAATGGAAAGGAAAGAAATAGAAGGAACATTAAACGGACATTAAAAAAGCCAGAAATACCACTGAGTTCAGAATTGTGACACTTTAAAACCACTTATCTCCTTTGGATGAATTTGTACAAAAAAGTTGTCAACTACTAAATTAAAACTCTAGTTTTTTTTAGAATACTCTGAAATTTTCAGACAATTCTATCTTTTCTAGACTACTTTTGCCCGTCTTCAATTTGACTATTTAACACTGGAAAAATGAAAGTGGCTGAAAAACAACAAATCAGAGTTTTGATATGGAAATATATATTTTTAAACAGCAAAATTTATGACAAAAAATTAACAGTTTCAAAAAAATTAGATTTTCACTTTTTTCAATATTTCTGCAATTCTTGTTGAAAGGAACAAATTCTGCGATCTTTACTATTAACAATCACCAAATTCTGTGTGTGAGTGTGTCCGTTTGTTCCCGTTTCACCGAGCCAAAACTTTTTTAGATTTTCCGAGATTTTGGGCAACTCTTCTTGTTCTATAAGTAAATTAAGTTACCTTCATATTAGAAACATGGGAAATTTGATATGTGATTGCTTTTTGCAAAAGGACCACCTTTAACCAACTGGAATTGTTGGACCCCTAACACCGGAACAAAGACGAAACTCAAAAATCGAAGACAAAGGAATTGTAAAACAATCCATTACACAACTTTTGGTTTATTGATCATTTTGATTGGTTAGATCCTCGCAAAGTTATGCAGGGTACAAATTTCAGTACAATATTCCCAAAAACCCCGATTTTTGACACATTTTCAAGATTTTCAAAAAAATGAGGACCTAAATCGAAAATCGAAGACGGAGCATATGTAGCAAATGTCTCTGCGGTATCGATGACGTTTTTATTTTTCTGATTGCGTAAAAACCTGATAGACTTATGTACGGTTGAATGAAACCGGTTTTGATCAAATCGGCGTTCATTGATTCACAACTTTGCTCGAAATGCTCCAATTTTCATAAAAATTTGTGCAGGTTATAGTTGAAGTCTCCAGTAACACATCAAACAGTTTTTTTCTATAAAAATAGCTTAAATTCGTTTTTTTTTTGTGGTTTCCATGACTCTAATGATAGGCGTCTATTAGCCGAAAAAAGAGAAAAAGGGGGAGGGGCGTGAAAAATTAAATTTGGCTAGAGTGCAGAAGACGAGAGAACTTTTCCAAAAATTTTGGGAGACCGTGAAATAAATAATTTCAAAGGATATACAGCAGATTTTCAAACCAGCAAAATTCAATGTTTCAAAAAAAAATAGATTTTCTTTCTTTCAAAGAAAAAATAATGAATTGATGGAGTACCGGCCAATGAACATGTTTAGTGGAAAATTGTCTACATTGGGTGTCAAAAAAAAACACTTAGTATTTGCTCATTTTGTCCGAAAATTTCAGAAAATATAAATCAAATTTTGAATTATATTTTTCTAGTTCACAACAGATACATCAGATTATTCAACCATTTTGAAAAATTCCTGAAAATAGAATTTTCGGAAAATCACTGCTTCAAAATAATTAGATTCTCATGCTTTCTGAAATTCTGCAATTCTTGTTGAAACGGATTTTGAAAAATTACGGTAAAACCAGTAGTTAAATAAAAGAAATTAAAGGTCCTTTAATTGAAGTGCTCTCTTATAATTAGACTTCACACAAAAAATAGAAGGGCCCTTCTAATACAGTTTAAAACCTTCCAAAAAATGTTCTAGAATCTCCTATCCTTCTTCTTCGACTACCTCTCCAACCGTTTCCCAGCGACTGGAATGATGACGTCATGGTGTGCCAGTAACAACCACCCAATATTGCTCATCTTTATTCTAACCTCTCATTTTTATTTGGATTATCTAGCAATGGGTTTTCCATTCTTCATGTCGGTCCTTAGACTGATTTTTATGGTTTACCCCAATACTCATAAACAGGTAAATATACTTTTTTTTAAATTTTAAATCTAAATTTCAATTAAATTGATTCAGGTCATCAACAAATTACTGAGAATTGCCTTACCTTGCATTGCAATTTATCCGATTTTCAATACATTTTTCATGTTTCCAGCGACTGGAGAATGTCGCCAATTGTATCCACCTTATGAATTTGGCGCCATTTTTATACATTATTATGGGGAAATCGCGGGGGTAAGGCATGAAAATTGTTTCAGCCAGTTTAAAGGCGCATATCTTCAAAAGTAGTAAAGATATCCACATTTTGTTAGTTGACCAGTTTTTGATAGCTTTTTTTCTGTTTCCGAAAGTTACAATTTTCGAAATATCAATTTTTTTTCTGTTTCGATAGATTTTTTAAAGCGAAATCAAGAGATTTGTAGACAGTGAGAAAAATGTATCTTTTTCTGTTTCAAAATTTTTAAAGGTGGGGGGACATGAGAAAAATAATGTTCTCGAAATTTCGTTTAAATATGCCCCTCGAGGAGTTGAACGTGTGGGGCGAGGATTGAGGGTGCGGCGCCGCTACCGACTGAGCTACACGGGCAAAGAGAAAGCGGTCGCCCGATTGCATACATAAAGGCGAGGACGACAGCTGTACGCAGAGTAACATTAAGCGTTGTACACCGTCACGGTAGAATGCATACTCTGGCCCCAAAAATCCCCCGTAAAATCTCCTGTCCCCCCACCTTTAAGGTGCGACCAAACATGTTTTGAATGTTAGTGATACCTTACATAATTTTTGAAACAGAAAACGTTTATTTCCCAATTTTAGGCTACAGTAAACCTGTATGAGGGCTCTTAGAGGGGATTTTATGTTCAACGAGTCCTTCTAATAGAGGTTTCACGGTGTTCACTGTTTTCTTATCAGCAATTACAATACAATACCCGCTAGACTTTTATTGATTTTTTCAATTTTCAGTGGAAAATAGTCAATTTTGAAGTCCTAGAAAATTTTCCCAAAATTTTTCAAATTGGAAAAAAATAAATTATTTGGTTGAAAATTTTAAATTGTGCTATTAAACAAAAATAGAGCTTCAATTTTGTAATTGAAAACTTTTACGTACAAATTCATCTGAATAAGATGAGGGGTTTCAAAGTGGCATGAGCATGAATTCTGTCATATTTCTCGAAAAGTGGTTTATCTAATTTGGATGCATTTTCACAAAAAAGTTGTTAACTATAAAATTGAATCTCTATTCTTGTTTAGTACGCTTTGAAGCTTTTAGACAAATCGAAACATTTTGGATGACTTTTTTGGCACTTCAAAATTTCCACACAAGAAAATCAACATTTCAAAATATCTTCTCTGTTTCAACAGTTTTTTAAAGACAAATTGAGAAGATTGTAGATACCGTAAAACCTGCATTAGAAGGGTCGGCCCTTCTATTTTTCGTGAGGTCCCTAGGAGGGCACTTCAATTAGAGGGGCCCTTCTAATACAGGTTTTACGGTAGTTCAGCACGGGTTTGTTGGGAACTTTTTAATTTTCTAGAAAAGGAAAATAAAGGATTTAAAATTGTGAAGAAATTTGTAGAAACTTGATAGGAAATGCATTATTCTGAAATTGTCCTACTGTAATGTCAAAAAACTTTTTTTTCTGTTTCAAAGTTTTTTGTACTAGAACCCATATTGGTAAAATCAATTTGTATGTATTATAATTTTTATGTTGACTCAAACTATTTTTGAAACAGAAAATATTAATTTTACTCGATTTCGAGTTACAGTAGTACCTGAGGGCCCTTCTATCAGAAGGGTTTTTATGTTAAAGGAACCCTTCTAATGCAGGTTTTACGACTTTTTTTCTTATTCAGGACTTACAGTACAGTATCCACTTGAATTTCATTCACTCAATTTTTGTGGAAAATAGGCAATTTTAAAGTCCTAAAAAACCCTTCCAAAACTTGTCGATTCGCCTGAAAATTTTAGAGTGTACTTAACAAAAATAGAGATTTCAAAGTATAAAAAACTTTTGAAGACAAGTGAATTTCAGATTATGCACCATGTAAAGTTTCAGTTTACTAGTTTTTCTATTTTTGAAGATTTTAAATTTGCACATATTTAGAGCTCTTAAAACTTCACATTTTCCTGTTTGAATTATTCGAAAATGTAAATTTGAAGTAAGTCAAAGTATCGGCCTGAAATGTTTTAATTTTACCTATTTTCAGCTGAAAATTGGCGAATTTGAAGTCCAAAAAAAGCAAAAATTTCAAAATTTTAAGGAGATTGGCAGAAATTTCAGAAAAAAAAATCAGCTTCCTAAAATTCGAAAGAACATCGACCAAAATTTCTAATGTGATATCAAAAACATGTTTTTTTCTGTTTCAAATTTTTTGTTGTAATAGAACCAATTTTGTCATATCAATTCTCCTATCTTCTTACTTTAGGATGACTTACACTGTTTTTCAAACATTTTTGCTGTTTTTTTTTAATTTTTGTACCGTTCAAAAACTTACTAATTCGCTGATTTTTTATCGAAAATAATCAACTTTGAAGTCCTAAAATGCAATCCAGAATTTTTCAATTTGTCTGAAAATTTCAGAGTATACTAAACGAAAAAAGCTTTAATTTTGTAATTGTCCAAAGTGGCATGAGCATGAATTCTGTCATATTTCTCGAAAAGCGATTTATCTTATTTGCACAAAATAGCTGTCAACTACAAACTGTTAGCTCTATTTTTGTTCAGTGTACTCAAAAATTTTCAAAGCAAAAAAGTTCTGAATTCTGAAAAATTTTTCGCTGATTCGAAATTTAAAGAATTTTTGAAGGTAATTTAATTTCAGATTTCAGATTCACCAGCGTCTTGTAAGATTAAGTTAATTTTCGTCTTTTTTTGAGGGCTCCAAATTTCTCTATTTTCATCTGGAAATGTGGAATTAAGATTTTTTGTCCGATACTGTGAGAAGAAACTGAAAATGGGTAGAATTTTTAAAAACTTTTGGGTGGAACTGTAGTTAGTAATTACCACTTTGTTAAACGATTTAAAAACCTAAAACTGATTAGCTAAATTTTATATGAAATTTTAAAAAAATTCTCCGTTTTAATTTCAACTATTCTAGTGCTTTCATAGGTTAGCTTTAATTTTTCTTTTTATTACAATTCTTTGAAGTTTGACTCATTTTTTCCAGCTGAGCAATTCCCCATTCCTCCTCGCCAATATTGCATTTTGGATGGGTTCTACAATCAGTATAAATCTAATGGTTATATTCCTAGTGGCCCAAGCAAGAAACCGTGGATCACATCATGTTCAGTATAAAAGTCGGAAGAGTCGAAGAGCCGAGTTATCAGTTACTTTGACAACTTTTGCAATGATTTTGTCGTTTTTGATGAGGGGAATTTGTTTGGTAAGTTGAGGGTAATTATCTCGGTTACTGTAAGAGGTATCGGAATTTTCTCAATTGTTAAAATGTTGGTGATAATATAAGAGACATTTTATCAGTTCACAAATTTTTGAGATCTCTCATAGGAGCCGAGATGATTGAGAAATAAAAAGCAATGCCTGTATTAGAAAGAGCCCTAACTTTGAGCTCAATTATCTCGGTTGCTAAAAGAGTTATCAAAAATGTGTAAACTAAGAAAACGTAACTGATTGTCATAAACATTTTATCAGTTGACAGATTTTTGGTAACTTTAATAGGAGCCAGATAATGAGCTCGAACTAATTTTCCTTAAAATTANGATATTTCNTCATATATTTTCCAGATCTATTCTAACATTCCATCACTTCCAGTTGCTGGCCATCATCCGTCCACTGGTTCAGACGCAGAAGTCGTCGTTCTCCATGGGTCTTCTATTTAACGCATCCGGCGTTTCGACGAAACAAGAGACAATCAACGATTACTGTAGGATACTCAATTAGTNTAGGGTCCGGAGGACGGAAGTGATTTTGTTATCATCATCATTCTTATAATAGATAAATGAAGTTACGTCTCTTTGTTACTTTGTCCGCACATTTGTCAAAGCTTTAAAATTGAATATAACGTTCGATGGCGCCGAAGTCGCACCATCCAGATGTATGAAGCGCCGGAGGCACAGCAATCAGGCTGGTTTTGAATAAAATTTATAACTTCTGTTTCAATTTTTTTCTTAAATCTGAAAACATTCAGATTTTTTGGATTTTCGAATTTTCCTGATCTTTTGAAAAATTTTGGACTTCTGGAATGTCCCGGATTTATTTACAGCTTTATTTAGATCTTTTGAATTTTCGAATTACCGTAAACAGTCTAATGTAACGCCACCCGAATTGTCAAATTTGAGCCCATGCATCTCATTTTCTGTGAGAGATATCAAAAAGCGATCAACTGATAAAATGTTGCTGATATCATGACAAACATTTTATTGACAACTTTTTGATATTTTTCAAAAGAGGCGAGATATACCCAAAGCGGACGGTCCGGGATGGCGTTCTATTAGAGTGTTTACGGGAATTGGATTTCCGAGTTTTTCACTTTTTGTGGTTTTTTCAAATTTTTTGAGCTAGGGAAGTCCCGAAAAAATACGGAAATGTTGAATATTTTTTGGGTTACTGTAGTTTTCGTACCAGCAAAAAAAAATTAAAAATTTCGCCGTTTCAAAATTTTTAAATGTTTCTAGAACAATTTACAAAACTTTGTTTCGATATCAAAATAGGATTTTTTTTAAACTTTTTTTTCAAATTTGCAAGAGATAA